TGTGTGGACCATTCTATAGTCAAGTGATTATACACTCCTCACGGATAGCATGGATGCCTCCTGAGCTACTGTACTATGGCTCAAATCTGTATTATTTACTGAGAGTGGTGTTGTCTGTGTTAACTCCTCCCCCCCTCCCCCCATATTTCTCACAAGACTAAATTTTTTGCCCCCATGAAAGGTAATAGATAGTACACATTGTACTGTTTGAGAACAAAACGGAGAGAGACACAAATGAGGCAGGCTACTTTCTTCCCTGTCTTCAAGACACTCACTCTTTCCGGCAGGTGTCAGGGTGACGCTCCAGAGCCGTATGATCCCGTCTCCCCCAGCACACGCAAAGGAGAAGGCACTGTCTGTCGCTTCACCACTGGGAGAAACCTAACACACGCACACACACACACACACACACTGAAATGTTCTTCAACGATCTATGAGCAAAGCACATACATACATTAATTCTGACATACTATTTTGCCTACAGCTACTAGCATACATTGAAAATGAACTGAAAAAGTGTAAAATGGAGGTGGACAAATATACCTCAAGGTTTTACCATATACTGTATATACCTGAACGGTGTTGACCCCTAGTTCGTCGGCTCTGAGAATTCTAGCGACGGAAGTCTTTTTGAAGCAGTCAAAGAGAATGACGTCACCACTGGACGAGCCCGTGACCAGGAGCCACCCCACGGGTGCGAAACAGACCGATGTCACGCTATGGGGGAGGAGGACAGGGGTGAGAGGGGGAGGGAGGAAGTTGGGCAGAAGAGCAAATGAGGAAAGAAGAGAGGCCGGGTATGTACATAGCCAGGTATTCTCCCCCTGTAAATGTACGTATGTACAGGAGCTGGGGTGGGTACAAAGTTTAGTTTACTCTCTCTAATCCACTATGTGCTTAAATAATGACACCTCTCCATACTTTCCCAGCGTGTTCTTTACTTAGAGAAAAAAACTTGTGAACGAGTACCACATTATGCAGATCGTATACAACAGCATGCATTATTTAAAAAGAGGGACATGTATGTACAGTGGGTCTCATATCACACAACATGCAGACCTACATCTCTCTTTATTTCTAAGACCTCACATACCTCTCAGTGTGTTTCTCGAGGGTGGCGATGCAGACATGCAGACCTACCTCTCTCTTTATTTCTAAGACCTCACATACCTCTCAGTGTGTTTCTCGAGGGTGGCGATGCAGACATGCAGACCTACATCTCTCTTTATTTCTAAGACCTCACATACCTCTCAGTGTGTTTCTCGAGGGTGGCGATGCAGACATGCAGACCTACCTCTCTCTTTATTTCTAAGACCTCACATACCTCTCAGTGTGTTTCTCGAGGGTGGCGATGCAGACATGCAGACCTACCTCTCTCTTTATTTCTAAGACCTCACATACCTCTCAGTGTGTTTCTCGAGGATGGCGATGCAGACATGCAGACCTACCTCTCTCTTTATTTCTAAGACCTCACATACCTCTCAGTGTGTTTCTCGAGGGTGGCGATGCAGACATGTAGACCTACCTCTCTCTTTATTTCTAAGACCTCACATACCTCTCAGTGTGTTTCTCGAGGGTGGCGATGCACCGGTGGCTACCGACGTCCCACACCCTGACCATAGTGTCGTCACTGCTCGACGCCAGGAGACATCCGTCGGGGGAGAACGCCAGTCCACGCACCGCTCCATTGTGACCGCTCAGCGTCGCTGGGTCAAAGAGATACAGCACAATAAACAACATATATAGCAGTAAACATTTGAGGCTTGTGTAGCATTGTCGCCAGGCCCTAGGAGGTGAGGTTAGTAACGTACAGTACAGTGCAAATGGATACTAAACAAAGCATTTTTGCAGAAAACAGCTGAATGGCTCTAAGTTTCAGAAAACCAAAAGTGCACTGTTGTTTATTGGCGTTTTGTCATTATGTGTAGCGTACTTGGTGCTTGTCTTACCAAGTACAGCCCATGATGTGGTGGACCACATTTTAATGGTCGTGTCGCTGGAACCGCTCGCCAGTATGTCTCCAGCCGGGCTGTAGGCGACCGAGTTCACGTAGAATCGGTGCGCGCTAATTGGAGACGGGTGGATTTCTTTCTTCTCGTGCACGTTCCACAGACGCAGGGTCTTGTCACCGCCGCACGAGCAGAGAGTTTGGTTCTCTGGGGACCAGGCGCAGCAGTTGACGTCGCTCCTGTGGCCCAGGAGCTCGCTGTACACCTCCAGGTTCATCTTCTTAAACGGACACACCCAAAAAACACGTCAGCAGTCGTTATCCTAACTGCGCATGCGTGAAATCGCGGACCTATAATAATAATAATAATAATAATTTTTATGACAAAGAGGAGCCAGGGAGGCTATTAGTCAAGCTATGTACAATGTAATAAAAAAGCGGTATGAATAAAATGTGCCACTGCATGATTTATGTTCTTATTATCGGATTGTAGTAAGTAGCTACACGAATTTCTGCTCTGATGAAAGCCACTTATATCCAGGAAACGCTGCTTGTATTACTTGTTCCAGATTGTTACGTAGCTAGCTCGTGCTCGCGTGCGTAGGTGTGGGGGTTATAAGAAGTCCCGCCAAAACTTCGTTGCATCCGCAGTCCAGTATATACCTGCAGACACAACAGCAGTGCCGAATAAATATTCCTGCCAGTGAAGCCAATACTGCAATGGAAAACAGCGTTACTCGCCTAGCTGGGCTAATACTGAGAATAATTGCTTTGGTAAGTTCTACAGACAATTGTTACCAAATTATCATAATTATACCCCTTTTTTTAGGTTTTAGCACTAATTCTATTAGCTTTGGCGTCTGCCACAATTGGCCTGATCCGAAACAATCGATCGCTAATCGACAAGGTGACGGATGTGGACACCGACGATGATGATGAAGTCGCACTATCGCTACTAGTTGTCAATACTGAGCGCACGGCATATTGGCTCATCATTCTTGCAGTTTCTGTCGTAATTGCCGAGATCGTTGCTATCGTTGTGCTGCTACTGAATGTGCAGGCTCATCGTCTTTGCCGTGATATTCAGGTGAGTTTTGAAGTACGTACGTAGCTAAACGATGGTGACATCACTGGTATTTCTGAACTGCAGCAAGTCATCTTCAGCTTCATAGTTGCATTCTTCTACTTGGCCACTGGGATTGCGTGCGCTTTGTATGCCAACGCATGGGCCGCGACGCCAGAAGAATGTAAAACCGATGAGGACTTTGACTGTACTGAAGAGGCCTTTACTGCAACTAACGCGCTGCAAGCTGTGAGTGATACACATAATTAGCATAAGCTCGTTAGTAATGTACAGTTATAAGTATATACCGTGTACAATGTATGGATTACTGGCTGCATTCTGTAGGTATTCTGCTTTGCACAAATGGTGGTGTTGGGTATCATCGGCTCTCTGACCATCTACGTCATTATCCAGAGGAAAAACTCAAGCAGTTGAACATAAAACAGAGCAATAATAGTTAGATTATACAATTATAGCTGGCTTACTTTGTGTTTTCAATGATGTATTGCTTAGTGAAGAATAAAAACCACTCGCATTCTTGCAAGTCTTTTACAAGCGCCGGTGTGTTATTGAAAGCGCACTGCCTCTATAACACTGAAGTGCAAACCCTCGGCGCACTGTGACGCGCACGCGTAAGTAAACGCATGCGCAGTACCACTAATCGATGGGCTGGGTTTATTAACCGTTCCGTTGCAAAGCTAGAGCGCTTCAACCATTGCTATAATGCAATTTTTATCGCTGCGGAAAATGCGCATGCGTTTATATTTTCAACAGGCTCCTCGACCGGGTTCGTGTCTGCGTTTGCTCTGTGTATCTTGAAGGCACAAGAAGTCACAACGAATTGCGTGTATCGACTCTCGCATGCTATCTACTACTGTAGCTAGCCCGTGTCAGACTCTCTGGCGGGAGACCACGAGTAAACGCATACTAATTATAGCAGCCCAGCCCATCAATTAGCGGTACCGCGCGCATGGCCAGTTCGCCGAGGGTTTGCACTTTAGTACTTTTCGTTACCCTCGGCGCGCATGCGCAGCGAGGGTATAGTTGGGTACGTGTGTGTGTGTGTGTGTGTGTGTCTGTTACTCTACATCTCACTTTTCGAATGTTTGTTCGTCTCACAAACGATATGACCTACTCAACGGGCAATGAAAGTCAGAAATTTTGTGGTGTTTTCTCTGAAAATGCTCCGTTGCAAAGCTAGAGCGCTTCCAGCATTGTATGGCTAATGCCGGTAGTCGCCATTTTATCGCTAGCGGATAATGCGCATGCGCTTATATTTAGCACCGACCGGGTCCGCTTGCTCTGTCTATCTTGAAGGCACAAGAAGTCACAACGAATGGCGTGTATCGACTCTCGCGTGCTATCTTACTGTAGCTAGCCCGTGTCAGACACTCTGCGAGCTACTTCGCCGAGGGTTTGCACTAGTGCTTTCATTTTAGCTGTTACTCGTGGTCTCTTGCCGGCTCGCGCAGAGTCTGACGCGGGCTAACTACACTACTAGATAGCATGCGAGAGGCGATACACGCCCTGCGTTGCATCTTCTGGTGCCTCCGAAGTATATACGCAGAGCACGACCGCTGTAAGCCATCCCGTATTTGCATATAAGCTTCTAGCTTTGCAACGGAGCATTTTCAGAGAAAACCGCCTTTATTTTCTGACCTTCGTCGCCCGTTGGGTAGATGGTATCGTTTCTGGGACGAACAGACGTTCGAGGAGTGAGATGTAGACTAACAGACAAACAGAGACAGACAGACGGACCCAACTACTGTACCCTCGCTGAGCATGCGCGCAGAGGGTAATTACCTCGGACCATGCGAATGCGATCCGAGAACCCCCCATCTCTGCATGCGCGAACATGGCGTAGTTTCGTGCAGTCATAATAATCTGGAAGCCCGCATGCCCTCTTGCCTTTTCTGATTCAGTTAGCTACCACATCCTCGTTCAATATATAATTTCCGTTGCAATAGTTACAGCTGCTGTAGTCCACAACTAGCAAGAGACGACATACGTAGTGAGCTATGGAAAGAAGGCTAACTTGTGCTGCGTACACATTGCGAATGGGAGCAGCTGTAAGTCCTATAACCCAAGTATTAGTCGTAACAATAGAAGTAATATCACAGCTCATAGGAGGGCTCCTTATCATTTTGTCTGGTGTGACTCTTGGAGTGATCAATCGTAATGAATTCCTTGGAGATGTACGAATCAGGTAGTAGCTAGCTATTACTCATACTTGACAGGATAGACTTCTTTTGAAATAGGTGAACACTCTGATCTATTGGTCCTCACAAACCTCAGCCTGGCTGCTGCTGGCTGGTTGACTGTCATGAACACTATAATGATGTTATTCTTAGCTGCCTTTCACGTTGTGCACATGGAAACATTTTGGGAATTCGGACGGACAGACGTCATCATTGTGAGCTAACATCATGTCTACAGACTAGAGCTGCTTTAAAATGTTCACTTTTCAGGAGACATTGTTTTGCAGCATTTTGGTTGTGTGCAATCTTGCTACTGGGATCTCCTGTGCAGTGCTTGCAGGGGAATGGGGGAAAACGCCAACATCCTGCATTGATGCCGAGTTACACGATGCCTGTGACAGCAAACTGCTCAGTACTACTAACGCCATGCAAGCTGTATTACATTATTATTGTGCAAAATTAGTGCTATTATGTTCCCGCTCTTTTTATAGGTGTTCTGCTTCCTTCAAGTTGTAGTGTTTACATCTCTGGGACTTACACTCACAAAAATAAGGAGCACTATTGGCCAAAACTGAAAATTCCACAAACACAATATCCAACATACTCTCTTCGCGTCTCGGAGGCGCGCAGGCGCGGCGATGCGCGAAAATGACGTCACCTACGTTATTGCGCACGCGTATATACGCGCGATTTCGCGGAGGCAGGGGGGTGTATACAGTGCGAGAGCGATGGAGCCAACGCATATCATCGTGAAAGGCGTCCTGAGACTCGCAGCGATTGTAAGTTCTGAAACAAACAACGCTTCACTCTTGTGCATGTTATTCCTGCGCACTAGGTTTTCGCAGTGATACTGGTCGTTGTGTCAGCAATTACTCTCGGAATAGTCAATAGTAACCGAGATTTCGATGAAATCAGGGAATATCGGAGTGCACCACAATCCATCAAACAGCTAGAGGACCTGGTGGACAGTACAGTGTCAACATCTGCCTGGCTGATATTGCTCAGCATCATAGTAGTGGTCTGGCAGGCATTGTACAGCGTTCTCCTTCTGATGTCCTCTCTTCTCAGCTTTCTACAGAGATACTCGGTGGTATTAGCCATCACGGTAAGACCCCCAGCTCCTTCCACTTCTCCCTCCCCCCACACACACTCACTTAATCACCCAATTTCCCATAATTTCAGAATTGAAAGTGTGCTGCATTATTTGCCTACTATCACAAACACAGGATGTGGGCCTCAGTTTATCAGCCGTCGTCTGTTTCTTGGCCACCACAATCGCCTGCATAGTCTTAGCTGATGCCTGGGGAGGACCACCTGAGGCCTGTGATCGTTACAGCATCTATTACAGGGGCCTCAATTGTGACCACAATCACTTGGAAGGGACCAACGGAACTGCTGCAGTAAGGACAGTATCGTATGACCTTTCAAGATCAGATTTTTGCCTTTCAGGATCCTCCAATAGCATAATTATGATGATTTGCCTTTCACCAATAGCATTATGTTGCCTTTCAGGATCCCCAGTATAATAAACATGAGGATCAGTTTACTCTTCAATGGCAAACTGAAGCTACAATGCACTTATCAATACCTCTGCTGCAGCTACTGTGCACCGTTGAGTTGGTTCTGCTGGCAGTTCTTGGAGTGCTATCAGCCGCGGGCTGTCTCCCAGTGATGGTGGTGTGTCTAAGGGGAGCCAAGAGAGCTAGTAGACCCATTTCCAGCAAAGAGCCAGGGGCAGTAGACACGTAGATTGTGTTTCAATTCCAACTCAGTTTTGTATCCCACCTAACCATAAACACTTTCCAGTTACATAAGCAGTATAAACATCTAGGGGGGCCGCCACATCAATGTATACAGCAACAAAGCCAACAACAGTTGGTTTTTTAATTTCCCCAAATAAACATGAGCGCACATGAGTGAGACAGAGAGAGAGATACTTTTTCATTGGCAGGTTTATGATACAGAATGGAATTGTGAAGTGTTATGGGGGGGGGGACTAATTAGAAGTGAAGGATCGGGGGTTGGTCAAGTGTTCATGGGTCTGAAGTATCGGGGCATGTTGTCAAGTATTGGTGGGTTTCAAGTTTTGAAGTATTGGGGGTTGGTCATCATGGTGTTGTGTTGGTAGGTTTGAAGTATTGGGGCATATGGTCAAGTATTGGGGGTGTGGTCATCATGTGTGAAGTGTGAAGGATGGTCCTCAGTGTGAAGTATTGGTCATAAGTATTGGAGGTTGGTCATCAGCAAAAGAGTTTGGGGACATGTATGGTCGGAAAGTGGTGACTGAATCCTGCAGAGCAAAATACACTATCTAAATCTAAGACATTATGGTAGGCAATTCCCCAAATGAAAATAAATGCAAGGGAGATGAAATGTGGAAGGGAAATATCCAAAGTGCTTTCAGTCACCAATCGTACACGAGGGAACTTGCAGCAATCATAAATCGGTCTTCTAGAAGCAACATGTTTCAAGATACAAGAAACTAAGCAGCTATCATACACGGGGCAACTTTATTGCAACATGTCTCTAGCAACACGGTCCCTCACATAATATCATGATGGCTTTTATATGCTGACAAAACTTGACAAGAACTTGTGTGTGAGGGTCTGGGCAGGAAGACTGGCTCACCAAGCTCCTTGAGTCGGTCTCCCCACTGGTGGAGTTGGAGCTGCCACAGAGCCTCGCCTCGTGTCTCTGTCGGGACAGCAGCAGCGCTCGCTGGTGGCAGAACTTGTCCCACACGTCCTGCACCAGACTTCCCAGCAGTCGCTCGTCCACTCCGTCTCCCTCATGACTGCAGGGAGCAAGAGCTATCTCACTCCACCAAAACTCCAGTCTTTCCCCCCATTCCCTAGTTTCTTCCCCGCTATCTATTTTATCCTATCTAGGTTCCAAGCTTTCATCTATTCCACCTACCTCGCTCTGAAATTTTGTCTTTCTCGCCCTGATCTATCGTCTTACAACTCACAGGGCGCTGGTACTGTCAGTAGTGGCAGTTCTCTCGTCTCCCAGGGCATCGGCTCGAGGCAGCATCCTCTCCAGGAGCACGGCACAGACGCTGATGGCTGAGGTGTGCCGACTGGCCCTCTGATGTGCCCTCACCAGCTCCTGCTCCATACACTGCAGCAGTCGATCCTAAAAACAAGCAGCAGAACTCTCTACAGAGAACTTTCAGCACATTAGCTAGCAAATCAAACCTGTTGAGTGAGGTGTGCAGAGTGTAGCTGGAGCCTTTCTGTCTCTTGCTCAGAGAACAACTTGTACATTGCCAGATGTATGGGAGGATACACCACCTTGGGGTGAGAGCATAATGCTACTCTAGTCAACACTGATTGTAGGGTGATGTAACAGACTGTAATACTCTAACTACATGTATGGTGCTGTAGATACCATCATACTGTGGGGAAGATATACATTTGATGCTGGAAGAGGGCATAATTATTGGACACTATACCTGTCTAGTGAAAACTATATATACTGTTCTCTAAAACATGCATGTGTCATCAACGAGGTCAAGGCAAAGCAAAGACAATAGCATAGACGCTAAAAGGTACTGTACTTTCACGATGGGAGAGAACGAGGGACCAACTGACCACGGGGCTGGTGGGAGAGTGTGCCTGTTGTCTGGGGGGTTTGGGGGAGAGGAGGAAGGAAGGAAAGTGGGAGAGGGGCGTGGGGCAACCTGCGTTCTCCCTCCTCTGCTGAACCACTGCTGACCTCAAAACTGGTCGGATCCTCAGTTTGGGTGGCTGCGAGGAGAACACACATTCTTACCTTCAGGCCTATCACATGGCATGGAAGACTAAGTACACTGTAATACTGTATTACAGTAAGACCAAGAGAACTTAAGAAGAGAAATTAATGGAGAAAAGAAAATCAACATGCACTCTAAACACGAATGGACTCTAATTGAAGCCAAGTACTGCAAAACCCAGCAGTCTCAGATTGTATGGGTGACACACATCATCAGTTACTGAAACAGAGGAAAGCAATAGAGTATGTGTGTATTGCCTGTACGTTGTATATACCAGTGAAGTAGACTCGTCCATCATATCTGAAGCAGAGTCTGAAAAGAATAAAAAGCCATTCTCAGTTCCAAACATACCAGAGAGATTTACACAATCAATAATTACGTTAGTGCAAAGTTCACATATCAAGACAAGGGCAGAAAGTACAAACCTTTCAGAGGAGCTGTATTGGGTCTCTTAGAGCCTCCTGGAACCTTTTCCCCCTGGGCTGACGGAGATGTCCTTGCCTCAGTCGCTGACAGCGCAACATTTACAACATCCAAACCGTCCCCGGCAGCCGTCAGATCAGCAGACGAGCAACCAGTGGGCGTCGAGACTGCAGTGGCGAGGGGAGAGGGTCTGTGCTGCGTCTGATGCTGGAGTCCGGAGAACTTGATGGGGAGGGAGGTGGAGAGGGAGACGACGGTTCCACCGGAGCTGTCAGAATCGTCTGACAGTCCGTCCGAGTCCCCCTCCCCATCGTCCGAGAGCCGGCTGGCGCTGCCACGGGAGAGGGTCGGAGAGGCTCGGCTGGAGAGGTCCTCCATCACGTGACTCGGTAAAAGTCCTCCCTCCCAGCCCCCCGTCGATGATAGTCTCCCAGCACCATCTCTCACCCCTCGAGAGGGTACCTGACTCGTTTTCACAGCTCCTCCGATTAGTCCCGGGGGCATGGTCTCCCATACTGCCTCCACCCCTCCACTGGTCCACACCCCCTCCCCCTCTCCCACATCTCCCTCTTCACCCCCTCTCCCCGCCTCTCTCGTCTTCCTCGCAGCCTGGAGACTCTTTCGTCCACCGTGCTTTGGCTGTTTCTCTGCCGCGCCCCCTCTCGGTCCCCTGTGGTCCACAGGTGAGCTTGACTCCATCCTCTCCACTGTCAGACTACCGTCTCCCCTTGCAGAAACACCACTACACCCTCTCAACATCTGCGAGCTGACCGACTCAACTGCAACCCAACACAAAAAGACACACACACACACACACATCAATCCCTTTATATACCACATTATACGCAACAATAAGTATCACTAAGTACAACGTTTTATATTAACGACACACATACTATAGTGGGGGAACAATAGTGCCTATTGTGGCGGTAGGTGGGCACAAAGCTAAAGCATCAATTCAGTGGACACGTGGTTTTTGACTTCAAAGAAGAGCATTTCATACAGGCATTCGACGGGAAACTGGTAAATACATGTATACAGATTGTAGACTCGCATCTACTCTACCTTTGCCGTGGTGCACCAGCATCGATGTCTCGTGAGTCGGCACTTTATCCCTGGAGGGAGTTCTCACTATCCTCACTATATATATGTATGTGTACAGAATGGTCGTACGGATAAGATATGCACCGTACTGAGAGTATAGCAAAATACGGATAGATATTATACTGCACCACAACAAGGTGGGGAAAATTGTAGAATGTTGAACGATCTGATACGAGTGTGAAAAAAAACTAACACACGCCTGCCAGGTAAAGATGTTTAAAAACAGTGCGTAAAATATGTATAAGCAACTAAAAAAATTCTTTCTAGGCTAGACTTACTCCGCTGTGCAGTACTTCACATGATACACCCTGCTATGCGAAAAACAACCAAGCGCATAATTATCAGCATGCAAACTTTACATTGAGCCAATGAAAACCTTCTACAATGGCTATAATTATAGTCAGCTCACACGGAGAGAGTCCTCTTCCTCTCTTGAACTTGATGTGGTGGAACGGTATGGAGAGAAGCAACTTTATGGGCTCCACTTTCTTGCTCTCTTTCTCCTCCGTTCCGCTCTCCTTACCCCCCACCTCTCTCTCTCTCCCTCTCCCTCTCCCTTCTTCTCCTCTTCCTCCCCTCCAACCTCCGTCCCCCCACCTTCTCCTTCCCTTTCTCTCTCCTCTCCCCCACACACCTCACCCCCCACGGTAGTTTTGTCATCTTCACCAGTAACCTCAGACTCTGCCTCGCCACTCAAACCAGTAGCAGTTGTCTCTTCCTGGGATTTCTCAACATCAGGAGGCGGCTCCGTTGGTCTTGCCGTGCCATCTAGTTCTCCTCGCTCTCCCTCTGAACGATTCTCAGTCTCTGTCTGTCTACCTTCGCTCCCTGCGTTACCCTCAGACGGAGTCTCTGATGACTCCTCCGCCTCACGTTGTTCACCGTGTTCTTTCATCGGTGTCTCGTTCTCTGTAGACTTGTCTGGATCACCACAAGGCTGGCCGACCGAAGACTCTGTCTTAGAAGAAGGTGGGGCCTGGACCGAACCCTCATCGACTTCCTCTTCAACTATGGACAAATGTCAAGGTTTGAGGAACCATTTAGTACACACTCACGTGTGAAAACATGTTGACTAAATCCCAAGTGCTCGCAATGCATTAGTTTTCCTGCACAACCCGCACACTCGTAAAAACAAGTGTGTGTAAATAGAGAAACCTGTATACCTCTTTCTGCAGTTGTATTCTCTGTGGTACATTTCTCCACCTCAGTCTCCTTCCCTGCAGAGTGCTCCTCGGGTTCTCCTGTCTCTGCTTCTGCTTCAACAGCTGCAACAGCACTCTCTTCCGCTGCATTTGATGCCACGTCCGCGCTGGCTTTCTCCTCCATCGCCCCCTGTCCTTCTTCTTCCTGTCCAACATGTGGTCCATCGTCACTGCCTAGCCGCTCTCTTTCATCTGTCCCTTCCTGTTTTCCACTGTTGGTAGACTTTTCTTCCACTCCGTTCTCAGTGTCGATGGCCCCATCTTTCTCCTCTTTAACTTCGTCTCCATCTTTTTCAACGTCCACCAACTCTTTGTCTTCTAGCTCTTTCTTGTCCCCGCTTTCAGTTCTTCCATCGGTCTTCTCCCCCTTCTCACCCTCACCCTCCCCACACCTCACATCCCCTCCTTCCCCGACTCCCTCCTCTCTCACACTGTCCGGCAGTCGATCCACGAGTCTCGGGGCCTTTCTCACGGTCACCAGCAGCTCAGAGTCGCTTTCAGACGACGAAACGTCACCGAAACCCCTCCCCTTCTCCCTCTCCCTCTTGGATCGTTTCCTGGTCCGCGACGGAGTGGCATTCACTGGTTCCAGACTCTGCGGAACGGGAGCCTCGGAGCCAGTCGAGCCACTTGGGGTAGTAGATTGAATTTCGACCTTATGATGGACTGATTGCAGGGGCAATGGAGGTGGATTGGGGAAGAATGCACTGTCGTCCTGAGAATGTGTTAGTTTGTCTTTCGGCTCACCCTCTATTGGTTCGCGATTGCCTTCTCCTAGAGACACAGAGGCAGGAAGAGCAGTGGGTGGGGTAGAGTGTGCATGTTGTGTGGGGGGTGAAAAAGAGGCAGTCAGCAGGCGACGGATTTCTTCGTTGTGACAGACGTCCAGTGCCGTCTGCTCCTTCTGGTTGGGGAGATTTGGATCACCACCACGCTCCATCAGCAGCTGTATCACCTGCCATAATCATTATAATACACACACCCGGATCAAATAAAAGCGGATAAGTTGCTGGAGAGTCAGTATTGACCTTGGGGTGGGAATTGACGGTTGCATCATGAAGGGGCGTGTCTCCGTCCATGCCGTGAGTGTTGACGCCGGCTCCAGACCTCAGTAGGAGGGAGACGAGGTCAGGGTGGCCATGGTTACACGCCTCGTGCAGTGGCGTCCAGCCTAAACACACGCACACAGGGAACAGTCGTATATATGAGGCTAACACACATGGCAAGACCTTGTTGTGTGAGAGGAATGAATCACTGAACTTCAATGTATGGGTATATATGATGGTTCCAAGTGACATGTTTCATGAAAACAAGGCAACATCTGTACGTGGCACAGCTGTGCGAGACAATGTCTCATCATGAAATTCAATGTGCGGGTATGAAGCAACACGTCACACACGAAATACGAGTGTTTTCTATTGCACGTTAATACCTGCATGGTCGGTGGCGTTGACCTCTGCCCCTTGCTCGATGAGTGAGGTGGCAAGACGGAGGTCCCCGCGGATGCAGGCCACGTGGAGCTGAGTCTCTCCCCTCTCGTTCCGCTTGTGGACTCTGCTGCTGGGTGTGGTCGCCTCTTTCCCTGCCGCCCCGGCAGCTGGGGGGTCCTCTGGGAGAACACAGCAACACAGAATCTTACATGTCATGCATGACATCAACTATAATACCTTCGACCCGTTGCCTGTATATAAACTCATCAATACAGTGAGATCTAGTTTAAACAACCTGCACGATGTAAAACAATACTTTTCCTTGGCTCCTACCACCTATGTACCCCCTCTCTCTCGTCCCACGCATCACCACCCACCATTCTTCTGAGGGTCGGTCATCTGGAGCAGGTAGGCCATCTGCTGTCTCTCTGTCATGGCTGCAGGGTTGAAGGAAGGGGAGGCGGAAGAAGAAGAAGAGGGTGAGCCTGTTTTACTCAGGGCCAGCCCTGTCGACGTGCTCCTCCGTCGCGGTTTCTTGGCAGAGGTGGGCTTGCTTTCTGGACAGACGGAAAAGAGAAGTGAACTAAATATATAGTTATTGAAAGCTAGAAACGAGTGAATTGACATTCACACACTAAGAAATAACTATAATACCTTCAAATGACCTAAGAAATGACATAGCTACAGGATGTGAGGGAACACTTTGCGTCTACATGTACAAAGAGAGATGGGAAGGAACTAACGAATGAGGGTTGCAAGACACCCAGCATAATACACTAGCTACAAGAGGATGTAAGCCAGACAGTTTCACACAAACCAAAGGAAGTAAACTGCTGCATTTGTGGCTCTAGGTATGACGGCCCTTTTGAAAAGGCTTCTAGCCAACGAAATTGATATATACCTCGCGGTGTATACCGTATGACCTGCCACCTAAAGCTACTGGCACGTATATTATACATTAGTTCTCATGCACACACACACAGCATCTGTATCTACCATCCTTTTCCTTGCTGGGAGTGACAAACACAATGTTGGCAGGGGAGGTGGAGGTGGAGGAGGAAGGAGGAGGGAGGGTGGGCGGAGGGGAAGAGTTCTTCCTCTTCACTCCCCTACCAGCCTGAACTGACAACTTCTGCAGAGGGTGATTCAGTGAAATAAAAAGCTGCATTGTAAATTGAAAAACCATGTTTCCCTGTATCAGTCTTGTCCTTGACAAGCAGTGCTACAAGGAAGGTGGGTGTTTTAGGCTGTGACTGTGTCTCAGTGTGCAACGCCAGAGATGTAGAGCTAATTGTCTCATTAGCAGCAGCAGCGTACGAAGCCCCCCTAAGCAGTGGGAGTTGCGTTCACACACCCCCGACCTCACACACCTCCTCCTGCGTGTTTCCCAGCTCGTCCGCCTCCTCTGCAGATTCTGCAGCGTCTGATTGGGCCGTCTTTGCCTCCATTCTCCTCTCTTTCCGGCTCCACGCGCTCGGCTCAGAGCGGCGCCCCTCGGGTCAAAGGTCAAGTTTTGCCCGCCATCTTATCCGAATTAGTGCACACCAACAAGCTTTTCGCGCAGCGCAGCTAATGTTGCAAGTGATATCCTCCACATAAAGACTCGTGGCTGAAAATATTGAGAGCAGAGAACCCCTGCAGTGATATTTGCAGGAGTATGTCACGTAAGAGGCGCATTGCAGCGTGCAGACACTGTATAAACTGCTGCGCGTGGAACTCTTGAACTCTGTTGCAGTGGCCGTACCCGTCGGTGTGGGACCTCAGTCGCGGAGGGCCGTGGCCAGCCTGGGGCGAGCCGAGCTGGAGGACAGACACATGAGTCTTCTGGAAGAGAATCACGTGAGCCATAGGGTAACATGAAGGTGTTTGTAAAATATGTAACAGTGTACCTCTTTAGCTCAAGCTGTATGCTGTGATTATTTTGTATTCTTGTATCATGTAACAGCTGCTAAAGAAACACACTCGGTCTCAAGAAGAGAAGATGAAGAAGTGAGTTACTTTGGGTCTCATTTGTTGCTCTCCCATGTCGAGAATTGCCCGAGGTGTGTAGTTGACTGGTTTGCTTTGCCTTTACCGTGTGGCCTCTTTGACGTCTGCATGTGTGTGTGCGTTTTTGTTTCACAGGATGGCCACAAAGCTCCTGAGACTGGCAGCAGACGAGAAAAGAGAGGCCAAAAAAGACGGACAACCACCTTCTGGTAACAGTTGTTGGAGTGTGTAATGGAATTTTCATCTCTCTCTCTCTCTCTCTCTCTCTATCTCTCTCCAGTGGTACAGGTCAAGGAGCTGGAGGGAGAGATACATGAACTGACGGCCAAAATCAGAGACGTCGAAAGAACCAACACTTCTCTACACAACAAGGTCAGTTTGATGTAGTTTTATACGGATATTTTGGAACGCTAGTATTTTTTGAGTCTCTCTCTCTCTCGAGCCTTTGGCTTCACTGGCTCTCATGTGTGTGTGTGTGTGTTGCCATAGATTGCAGTACTGCGGCAGCAGTGTGACAGCAAGGGCAAGAGACGGACTCCTTACGATCACGTGCAGTCCAGGATCAGCTCCGTTAGTGCTATACTTACTGTACAGTTACAATAGAGCCAAAAGCATTAGCCTAGCCTACCTTACAACACCATACAATTATAATACAGTATACTCTTCTCCTACCTGTATCCTACCCCTTACAGCTACTGTTACGTCCCTACCCAATTCTATACATACCGAGCTATCAAACCCTTCTTTATACTCGTAATCTATCCACAATTTTTCTTACCCATACACTGTGGTGGCGTTACGATGGTTCCATTTTGCGTCATTTTCAGGGCGTTGGGAGGCGAACTCCAAGGTAGGTCTATCTCATACAACAAGTGTCATCTAACTATGTATACGAAACCTCCTTCATGTCTTCACCACCAGCAGGGGCTCCTTACAATCATCACCTACCACTCCTAGGTACATACATGTACCATAATTATACAGCGAAAAGCTTAGAGAGAGAAAACTTTTGCTGTTGAACCGTCTGTGAAAAAAAAGTTTGCCGTTTCTAAAGACCATTCATGCAAGTACATCGCAAGAGTTCTCTCCCTCGAAGGTTCCGCTATCACATCATGACTGTGTGGTTGCTGGAGAGACGGCATATGAACGGGTGTATCTGTGTCCTCTGTGTCTATTCCATCCATCTTGTTGTCTGGTCTTAGGTATGGTCGGAGTCTGTTGGAGGAGGCCCGGAGAGACAACCAGGAGCTGTGAGTAGGACTGCTCTCGAAGACCTCAATTAATCCTTCTCTTCTATATACGTATGTATGTTCCCCTCCCAGTGAAGACCTAGTGTTAAGACTGAAACAGGATATCTCGGTTCTCACCGCAGAGAGTGAGAAGAACCAGGAACAAGTATGCACACTACCATAATATACATATATATTATATAGCTGGAAACTTAAGTGAGAGCGCTCTCATAATGCAAAAACTTTTGGAACACTACTCGTCCGGTTGTCCTCTGCCCACAAAATGTACGACAACTCTCAAACAACTTCTCATATGTAACGTTTCCTGCTACTATTAACCAGCCGTGTGTGTGTGTGTGGGTGTGTACAGCTGAGGCTCCAGGCAGCAGAGCACGAGGAGCAGAGACTGAGTCTAGAACAGCAGCTGCAGACACTCTCCGCCTCCCAACACAAGTCAGTCAGCTCCCACACACACACACACACTGAACAAACGTACGTACATTGTTAGAAGATCTCCACCCTCTAACTCTTCCAACCGGACTGATTTTAGTTCATTGTTGCAGGACTTGTGTACATAGCCCTTAGAACCTGCTCTCTTTACTCATATTATTCTTTGTGTAAATGTGTGGGCCATTTAGTTCCCATCCTGATGTATGTTGGTGTTATTTCACGTTGTGCGGGTGTTGACAGGAGGGGTATTGAGGAGGATGTGGAGGTGATCAGAGTGCAGAGAGAAACGAGACAGAAATCTGACAGACTCCTCGTCCTAGAGTCCCAGTATTCAGCTATGGAGAGGGTGAGTGTCATCGACACCTTCCCTCTATCCAGTCATTCTCCTTTCAGTAAAACTTCCAAAAATGAACATTCATAAAAAGGACACTTCTCTATGAAGGGCTCTTGATTCTCCCCAATACTAATACATTAGGGAATAGTTTGTACCTCTTATTAAAGGACACCTCTGTACTTAATGTCCCAATCTTATTCAGAGGTTTACTATACCCTTTCATGTGGAAGGCGTGGACTTATTTTAGGTGTATTGGTGTACTTATTTTCCCCAGAACCTTGAAGGCACGAGGAGCAATCAGAGAAAGCTTCTGCAGGAAATAGAGCAGCTAAACAACAGATTGAAAGAGGTGTGAACCGCACAGCACAAAACAGCTCTTTTATCCATGCACCGTCTCTCTCTCTCACACTCTGCAGGAGCAGAGCAGGAGTGTTGGGCTACATACTCGACTCAACTCCCACTCGGTGGTCCAGGGCAGAGTGGCAGAGCTGGAGCAGATAGTCACTGACCTGCAGGCAGAGAGGGAGATCCTAAAGAACACAAACGACAGACTAATGAAGAGGTCTCTCTATAATTATTAATACATAGCACATGTCAAGTAGCAGCGGAACCTCATGCATGCTTGCTTTTTGCAATATTTGTTTGCAGCGTTCGGGAAAATGTTTGCACGGTTTTCATGATTTCTACAGACATGTACACTTTTACTGCTTGTAATGTATATATACACGTACATATCCAGTGCTTTTGCGGAGGACAGAGGGTCAGAGTACAGAGGTCAAGTGAGAGCCTTGCAAGAGAGGATCCGAGAGTTGGAGAGGGAGCAGGTGGAGTACCTCACAACGACGTCCAATGCTCACACTTCAGTCCACCACACCCTCTCCGGCGGAAGAGGTGATGAGTGTATATGTCTTATAATTGTAGTGAAAAACCTCTTAAGGAAGATAAATAATCGAGGTTTTAAGAATATCTTTTCTACATGAACTTGTGTAAGGTGCACCCATATTTCCGGAAAAGAGATCTGCAAAGGTTTATTGTCAGTTCACAGTAAAGTTTTTTCTTTCTCAGTGTTGCACTGTGCAGTAGTTATTCTCTCTCTGTTTGCAGAGGTGAGTGAGCAGATTGAGCAAGAGGTGAGGGAAGGGAGTGGTGCCTACACTCACATTCAGACCCAGCATCAACAGCTCAAGGACAAGCTGCTGAATGAGGTAATGAATGCCTTGGCATGTGCACCAAGAGTTCACCAGTGAATATCGTTATAAAACCACAAGCGTTGCGTTCAAACTGGGGTATATAAACCCTGCTGCGCAGAGCGGAAGCTAAGACTGTACTCACTAGGATCATTTCTATAGTACATGTCTCTCCCTCAGTACCTCAACGAGGAAACTCCTCAAGCCACGAGGACGATCCGTAGCCTCCTCCCCTGAGCGCGAAGGGGCGCGGGGCCAGCTCTCTCTGCAGAGCCCAGCCCTCGCATTGATGACCGTTCCTGGTCTTCCTTCAGTGGAGGCCAGGAGGGGGAGGAGGCATTCAGAGTGGCTTTTGGTTTCTCAGTGGTTCCATTTTCCCAGTAGAGGGAGTAGGTTTTTGACGCATGCGCGCCGAGAGTTACAAAGTGTGTGAAATTACTCTGAATGTATGTTGCATGTTGTAGTCTCCAAGACTGGCACACAGTGGTGGAGGGTTCCGGACTGCCAGGGATGGTGGTGTGCTGAACACAGGCCCCTCCCACACCTCAAGCGACACTGCCTTAGATCATCTAGTGGACCATCAACATGGCAAAAGTCAGTACCGGTATATACAACAGGGTGTAGAATAATTGCACGTGGAAACAACAACCACCCCCCACTTATTAACATACGTACAGTATGGCAAATGTTATTTCCAGCTGTAGTCTAATGCAATGCAGTAAATATGTACATACCTCTATCTGTACTATATTAGCTGACATGCGGTGGGAGCTGTTTGAGCTATCCCACTTGTTTGATCCCTGCTGTAGGCTCATGTAATGCAGTAGCCATGTGCCTCTCTCTGTAGCTGACATTCGTCGGGAGCTGTTTGAGCTGCGGCTGTCCACAGAGGAGACGGCAGCCGACCTTGAGAAGACGCGACACCTCCTGGCTGCCCAGCGAGCCGTCAACCAAGACTATCAGAAAGAGGCAAGCTCTCCACTACTCTAGTGGGTGGCCAGAAAGTAAATCAGAAAGTAATAAAGTAAATCAAAAAGTGAATCAGAAAGTGAATCAAGTGACAAAGGATCTGCAAGCTGTTGTTGTCTGATCTTTGGCCGCCTCGTTAGCCTTGTGCCCTCATTACTTTAGCCCTTCGGGAAACTAGAGAGTTTCAATTCTTTCACTTTCACCCTCAGATAAGTGCTCTCAGGGAGCAAATGTATAGGCTCCAGACACACCATTTGCCACAGGGAGTCTCAGATCCACACCCAGAGCACCACAACACAATAAATGCCGCATTCAGCTCTCGAGCGGACCATGTTGAAACCAGGGAGAGAGCACAGCAGATGAGAGAGAGAGCCTGGAATGAAGACAGACATCCTCAGAGAACAAAAACGGGTGTAGCTAATGGGGAAGGCAGGAGGGAAGGGAGGAAGGAGGGATCCAAGGGGACAGTTGGGAAGCAAACGCACCCCAAACTGAGCGAGTCCACCACCCCAAGTGTTTCATCTACGGCAGCAAGCGAACGTGGTGATCCAAACTTCACCGAACCTACCAGACCTCATCACCGTCCTACTGGCAACGAAGAACTCGATCCCGACAGACGTGTTCTAGAACAATCCGCAGCAGGGAGAGGGTCTACTGTTGGTGATGGTGGAAAGACGGAGCCACCAGCTCAGCTGACATCTCCGCCAAGACTACAGGAGCCAGCAAATGGGGATGGATCCGCGAGCAGACAGAATCCCTTGGTCCATGAAACAAGAGAAGGCAGCGGCGATGGCAGAGTGCTTTCAGAGAGAGAAGTAGTTAGCGAGGAAGAGGAGGAAGAGACGAAAGAAGATGTGTCTGTCAGTTCATTGAATCACTCATCCTCAGAGTTGGGCACACCCTCAACCTCTACCCCTCTGCGACCTCCCCTCCCTCCCCCTCCATCTGGTGGGAGGACACAGGGCACACTTCCCCCTCCTCTCCTCCCTCCCTTCTCCTCCTCCATCTCGGTGATCGCAGCAGAGGCTCCGGTGTCCACCACCGAGGATCCATCGCAATGGGAGACGGGGGGAGGTGGTGGGTTTGTGATGATGGGAGGTGGGGAGGCAGGTGATGGTGACAGTGTGAGTGTGACTGTGACTGAGTTGAGCGAGGAAGACGATGAAGACACCATGTTTGAAGAAACTCTTCCCACAGGTTTGTACACTATTTTTTGCCAAGTGAATTTGAGGAAACGCATACTCATCACAGAGAGTACAGTGAGTGGCAGAACACTAGCCACACCCACCACACCCACCCAGCCGAGCGTGAGACTGATCGGCGAGGAAGACGAAGAGGAGTCGCCCCTCGTTTCCCCCTCCCTGACGAGCGGCGTGTCTCCCTCGGTCACCAGTCTGGAGGAGGAAGAAGAGGAGGGTCTCCTCGCTACCCCCAGACCATCTCACCAGGAGCTACCCACTGTACCACAAGTGAGGATAACAACACACACATAGTCTGCTCTGTAATACGATGCATACCTGCAACATACTGTCGTAATCCCAGTGCTATATACCACATAATAATGAATTATGAAGGACTTTTGGGGTTATATGTACTAATGTATCCAGGTGAGAGAGGACGTTGATGTGATGAGTGTCTGTATAGAGCGACTGAGTCTGGAGCCAGCCTTCTCCCTAACAGCAAGGGTGGCGGACATTTCCGGCTACTTTGTGGAGTTCCAGCTCCTTGACTGCGACTATGGAGACCTGGAGACCCCCTCTGTGCCAGTCTCACCTCACTCCTCGCAACCCGTGCTCTTCAACTTCAAGAAAGGTTCCAACAAGCCTCGTACATACAGTAGCAGTGGCTCTTAGAGTATGTGAAGTTCCCTGTGGCAAGGCCCTCATTTGTGGCGTTGTAGGGGTGTTTTTGTAGTGGTGGCGTTTTAAAGCACATTCGTTTTGGTGGAGCCTTTAGGTGGTGGTGATGCTTATTTTGTGCCCAGACTTGCTTAGTTTTTTTGGTAATAATTCTTCAGTTAATCAGTGTATATATCTGGATTTCAGAGTTCCACTTGGGGCCGTCACAGAAGGCACTGCTTACATCGGCTCTGAGCTCATCTACTGACAATCCCGATAGGAAGTATGTCATTACCTGTACACATAGTTGAGTGTGCGTATTGTCAAGTCTCCAGTCGATCCTAATTCCACTGCTATGGTTTGAGTGGCAAATGCACCCTCCACCCTCTACAGGGTGCTGTTCACAGTGGTAAGTGACCCGGTCGACCAGGAGAGAGAATGTGAGGAGGTTGGAACTGCAGAACTCGACCTATCCTTCGTGAGTGGTGGTCTTCCAGCAAAATTCGCCAGACATGAGCTGTAGTTTGCAGTATCATAGTTGACATGCTTGCTTTGCCTTGCCTTTCTACCTCGTTACCTTGTTGTTGGCACATGCGAGGCACACTCATGCAGTGTTTTAGATATATACGAGGATTTTCATTACGAGCTCTTCGTGTTCTGTTGTATATACACCTGCACTGTCAGTTTCTACTGTTAGCTAATGATCGTGTGTCATGCAGATACACCAGACTGGGAACGACATCGTGAACCAACAGCTTCAAGGTATTATACAACCATTAAGTATATATGTGTGTGTATAATAAAAGCAAGCCCCTCCTCTTCCTTGCAGTGTTGAGTTGTAACGAAGACGCTGAGCTATTGGGACTCCTAACTGTCTCTGTGTCTGCAGCTCACATTCTTAGAAATCTCTAGCCACTGCACTCAGCAGACTCAATCACACTCTGCCACTCTCTTCTGCTAGCAACACACACGCACACACACACACACACACACACTCTTCACACGTTTCATTGGATAAACTGGTTGAATCTAGTTATAAAACAAAGTACCAATGTATTCTTGTAACAGGACGTTCAAGTCGTGGCTAAAAATGGGGGGAAATTTTTAGCCCTTACGTATAATTATACTGATATATACGTTCCCCCTTAAATTCATTAAGCATGTGCGTAAATACCACCATTACCTACAGATTTTATGTTAGGAGAGAAAAAAAAAATATAAAGGAAAATAAAAAAAATGCACCACCTCACCGCTTTGGACTCAACCGTTAAGAAATCTTATATAAAGACTTTGGGCATTCACAATCAAACAACTGGGAAGAGCTCCACATGGAGGTCGCATGAAACTATGCATATATTACTAAAAACACCTCTTAAAAAACTAACATTTTAAATTTTGCAGAGTTCATTGGGATGACGTAGTGATACACAGTGTCAGAGTCCTCCTCTGAGGGACGAGCCACTACAATGCGGGAAGTGGTTTTTTTTTAGAAGAGCTAGTAACTGACACAATCCTTGCATATCTCCTGTAGTCTGCTGCAGCCTGTGTATTCATCATTCTCGTGACGCGTAAGTCACACACCCACAGTAGGTTTATTTGAGCCGACAATACCACGGTCACATAATTAAAGAGATCAGAAACGCTTGCACGCTCAAAAACTAACTCACCATTTGCCTTCCCGGCTGAAAATCAAATGCAATGTAAACAGTGAAAATAGGAAATGAGTTTTTGTGTGTTGTGTGTGGAGGGTTTCAGCTACCTCTGCCTGTGTTGGCAGGAGGTAATGCATTCATTCTAATCACAATCTCTCCGGTATTTCTATCTACTGTATATACATACAAAGGACAATGGGCACCATTACACCATCGTCACAAAAAACAGAAGGAGGACCAAACTCACCTTGTCCGTAGGCTCAATAAGCCGATATCAATCTGCAGGTGTTGATAATAAAGTTTGGGTGGTTTGAGCGGTTAATAAAGGTTTAATAGAGAACTTACTTCTTTTCCTGTCAGGTCTGTGAGAGGCGAAGAGACCGATAATAACTCAAAGCAAATGGGGAATTCTAGAAGTATACAGAACTGTGTCTAGCTCGTGAGATAGAGAAGCCTGTATCCTTGACTTTGATCACATATCTCAGCAAATTTTCTTTGCCTTTTTCCTGACGGGGCCCACACCGCGAAAGCAGGTTTTTTACCGCCGGAAAGAACTGCCAGCTGTGCTGAGAAAACGCAGTCGAAAAGAACGAGCCTGTCGCAAGGTCAAAGGTGTATCGACCAACGCCTGCAACACCAACCCCACCCAAAGCAAAATAACCGGAATGCGAAAGTTTGATTTTTCCTAGCCCGAAAAAGATGATGGGCAAGCGGAGGGCGAGTAACTGCGGAGCCTATCCAAGGTGATGGTAGCATGCGTAGGGGACGCTATAAGTAGGGAAAAACAGACCCTGTTCAATCGATTCAGCTGGGACGTTCGTGGATGAGCAAGGTTGACGAGAGAAGACGCAGGATACGCAGGCAACAAGGGAGACACACCACAGCCAAGACGTGGCACGGAGCTAGAGGGAGAAACAATACTTCTGATAAGTCTCTAACTATCGCTAATCTGAGGCTGCAACACTTAATTGCACGGCCAGACACATAGGCCATGTGTAACTGCACTGAACCCTCTCAATGAAACCCAGATGACATGTTTGACACTGGCCGGGATGGAGCGCGTCGGAAGGGACAATGCCGCCCACCTCACATTACGCAACGCCTTCTCCGTCATTTTCATGCTACGCCCAGCAACCAGCACAGAGCACACAGAGAGTTTATAAGCAGCATCCCGTCGTGGGCCGACAGCGTCGAATCCAGCACAGATTGGACGAGCAGAGGAAAGAACATTATCAAGGCACTGGTGCGGAGCCGAAACAAGCTGCCGACCCTGGAAGACGAGAGAGAGGTGAACAAGATGCGGCCAAGGAGACAGACGCAGAAGTCTGAGAATAAATGATGGATAGTGGCTGATCGAGATCTCGGCATAAGATGGGGGATGGGGTCTAGAGGAGATGTGTGCCGCCCCATCGAAAAGGCCCGTTCAAGACGAGAGAAAGGAAGAAGGACAGAGACATCTGGCGGGTTTGTTCTGATGAGTTCCACAGGAACAGCAAAGTTCAAAGTCAGAAAGACCTGCTGCCCCATCCTAAGAGTGAATGAAACCCCAACTATTATAGTCCGTGATCAATTATGCCATGCGTAAGACTAGCTTTTAGAGGTGTTGGGTGTGCGAACTACAGGCGAAAACTAGCGCGAGCTTGGCGATTCGAATTGGACAGACGATCGACGGACCGAGGGTTTACGGGGACAACAATGGTGCCACGCAAACAAAAGATTCGCGGTTACTTACATTTGACGCTTTGTTGATCAACAACAAAAACAGTTATTAGAAATCAAATCACGCGACACTGCATTGCTCGGGGGTGACCAACCTCGAAGTACAAGAGTGGCGATCCCCCCTCTCCATCCTTGCCCTTCTATACAATGTATAACTAGACGGAGTCAGCCTAGTAGCCCCGCCACTTGGTGATGCTCCGGGAAACGCAGACGGACGTCAGCTCGAGGAACGCAAGTCCGTTGCCGATGGACTGCCGAAATGCCCTCAGCTGCCATGAACCAACAAAAAGATGGTTCCTTGCCCACGCCCCTCCAAAGAAAGAAAGAAGAAGCAGCTACACAAGCGAAGTGTCGGTGGACGGTCGCTGTGCGCTGGTAGATTACGATTACCGCGTCGTTATTATGATTCATGCATAGAACCCGGTCCGAGGACGACAGTTATCACCACCTGAGAAAGAACGGATACGATATCTCCTCGCGATATACTGCGGCGCCCCGTCGCTGGACGCGAGGCCCGCGAACGAGATCACTGGGACTGCTGCACAAGCAAGCTGGTTCTCGCACACACGACATCAGGAACGATCTGGCCGCGCTACAGATCACTCGTTGGCGTGGCATTCACCCGCACACATGTCAGAGACACTCCAATGCGCGGAACACTCCTCGGGTTAGCGGAGGAGGATTCCCGTCCAATTCCCATCTCGCGCGCTCTCGACACCTGGCCCACGGAGCGAGTTTGCCGCCGCGAAGTCAGACCAGGGGACATCACTGTCCCGATGAGAAGACGCAGCGGTAGCTGACAACTGGAGTTGTACAAAGCAGTGAAAATGAGTGGGATGAGAGAGACAAAACAGCCTGCGCACTAACCAACAATTTTCGAATAGCGACCGACAGACGCGGAGAAGCCGTGCAGACAGTGCGCATGCTTCTAGTAAGTACGCTGCTCGCGCGCACGTCCATCATATAAAAGCGCTGGTGTGCACCACTGGAACGAAAAAGAAGCGCTACAGATATACATGAAAACCCAAGGCTACTAGCCACCCACGAAACGATGCCGCTGTTTCCACCTCTGGCTCTTTGACCTCTGCACATTTCTGAGCTCGACCTCCTCTGATCGGCATGCGATTGCAAGGTCTGTCGCCGCAGGAGAAACAGGAGCTCCTAAACTCCCACAACTATCTCGAAGTATTCGTTATACCATCCAGCCACCAAATGCAGGAATGGTTTTTGGATATTTTTTAGCTATTCTTACTCTGATCTAAATTCTTGAAATTTATTTTTGAAAATGAGTTTTGCGTTCGAGGGGGAAGCAATGTTCCCTTAGGTAACGGCTTCAGCATGACTAGCGGAGTATCCCTCAACATTGTGACGAGAGGGGCATCGTTCCGGGGGTCCCGCGTGTACGAGTAAGATTTCCGGGAAGCAGAAGTAGTAGGTATACAGCAGAGGTGCAACCTCGCTAGCATTCCAATAGCGGGCAGGCTTTTCTGCGAGACCCTCCTCTTCTATTGATACAAGCACGTGCCAGAAACCTTGCCCCTTTGGAGCGGTAAATAAGGACGACCTGGCTGCTGATTCCAAGGCGCTCCTATCCCGCGGTTATAATAAAGCTATGGGTAATACTACAGCATATAGTAGAACATTCGCTAGGGCTCGTGATTACTACATCGAGAGGTGATCGAGTCTAGCGCTTTGCCACATCCCCGTCGGAAATGAGCTGTAGTAATCGAGACACCTTAACTTTATGCGCCTAGCTGGACATAGATCGAGATAGCCCCAAAGACTACGCCGAGGCGCCGAGGAGTGTGTGTTGAGGCACAAAGCTAAACCGCCAGCCAAAAGCCTCTCTCTTGTTCCACCTACGTGGCGAGAAAACATAGCCGTGACTAATTAAACCCGCGAAACCATTCTGCGGCGGAACCTCGTCCGTGGGGTTGGTACCAATGAGACCAACACTACGACATGTGATCAGTGAATGATTGCCCGCCGTGAAAAGAGTGTGCGGCCACTACACACAGGTAATGAGCAATCTTGAATGCCTTCCCTTTTTTAGAAGTTGGTGTGCATGATAATACTAGAGCTAGCTATGCTGATCTGGAAAGATGTTGAGAATGAGGGAAAGTTTGGACTAGCTAATGAGAACAAGATTTGACGGAGAACTTGTAGATTTTTCCTCACTGTGTAGTAAGCGCAATGTTAGTATGATGAGGCTAGGTAGCCCTTATACACTTCAAGATTTACAACCATGTGTTAAAGTGATCAGCAGATTTACAGTAGACCTAATTATAGCATTCCCCACATGAAGAGTGGTAGGTGGAATGTTATGGTCATTAGCCTACAGAGGCTAACTGTTCTGAGAAATATTGCATATTGCTCTGCGGCCAATGCTTAGTTCTATCTTTAGCTAACATTAACCCGTGATCTACTGCAAACATTCCTATACATGATGATACACGTACTGCTCAAGAAGGGGGTGGGGACTTGCTCAGTCTGCGGTCGGCTGTGAGAGTGACAAAAGCATGTGGGACGACGGTGGTTTTCCTCATTCTGCCACAGCACCATACTCATGTGTAACTATGAGCGCAGGTATGCAGCATTCTTCTTACTACCGTATTTAGAGACACCGACAGTTTTCTAATCCATTTAAGGGCAGCGCAGTGGGCTATCACATAGTGTATGAAGAGGTGTTGTT